ATGTGATTGATTTAGCTGGATTAAAATATTGAATAAAATATTTATTCCCAACTTTAGACCGCGAAATACTGAACTATTTATTCTGTGTATTGATAATGCGACAATAAATTATCTAACTCCTAGTTTAGCTTATTTCTTTATTTTGATGGGAGATACTGAACTAATTATTTTCTTAGTTTAATCGTGGGACATTATACAATATATTTCTTTTTTTTTTAATAGCGTTATACAGAAATATCTTTCCATGGTTTTGATGGCGAGACTCAAAATTTTCTTCTATTTCCTATTAAAATACCGAGACAAAAAACCATCTACTTTCTAATTTTGATAGCGAGACACTATATAATTTTCTATTTTCTAGTTTTAATAAAAAGGCAATACAGAGTATATTTCCAAATTATGTTATCTTAGCACTGAACATCTTTCAAAACTTCCTTGTCTAGACAGCGAAACACAACACAATCACTATTTACCTCAAACGATTTATACTCACTTCAAAAAATACAATAATATTTGCCTTAAACAGGTCCCGTGGGAGTCATGTCGGCATTTATAACTCATTCATTAATTTAGTTTACATATGTCACAAGTTTTTTCCACCAGTAGGATTACCATGAAATGTGCTATTTTAAGAAATTTTGTAAGTATTAATAGATTAATGTCATTGTCTATTAATGAAATACAAATACAGAATTCGTGCTTTTTTTAATTTTTAATTGTTGTGCACATAACGCAACTAATTTATTATTTTTTTAAATTGTAATGGCTAACACCTCTGAATTCCGTATTTGTCTGAGCAGTGCAATTTGTTTCTGTGACTGTTGTTTGTGACTGAGTAGTGTGACTGTTTGTTTTGACTAGATTTTTCGACAATTTTCGCTGACGTTTAAGTCAATCAAGAGGAAAGATTTGATGTTGAAATGCTAAAAAATGTCTCTAAATTTAGCTTTGCTAAACTTCACCCGAGACTTCAAGCTCATAAAATTTCTACTGATAAACAAATTTAAACTCAGCAAGAATTATTTGGATTGACATGCAAGATTCTCCATTATCGCAGGAAAACTTTAAACAATCATAAATCACATCAGGCATTAGGGTACAATTAATATAATAATGAAAACTATCTCAGTTCTTAGATCTTTCAATTTTAACTTGGAATTTTTAAATATAAATTAAATATGTCATGGTCACGGTCATCCGACGTCGCTGCCAGCTATTGAAATAACAAAAGGTTCAACTTTATTTATTTTTAAATAAATAAATAAGTTTTTTTCAACTTTATTTATTTAAAGAACCGCGCGAATAAAGGCCGGGCCAATTGCTAATCAATAACTGAAGCTTGTCTTGATCCATACAAAAATTTATAAAGTCATACTCCTTCCACCTAGAAGGTACAATTGAACACATTCTCAAGTATTTGATGGAATTTGTATACAATAAACGTGCAATCAATCGGCTACAGAACACTAGGTCGTAAATAAATATTGTCTTCTGAACAATTATTCTCCTTATTCTCCTCAAATACAGGGGCTACAATAAAAATATTACTCGGTACTCACTGCAGTGAGTGACAGAGAGCGCATTTTCTCAAAATCGACAAAAACGTGAAGTCACAGACAAACGGACGGACGGACGGATAGACGGACGGGCACAATAGGGAATTTTTTTCGTAAATGAGAAAATGCGCTAAAAATTAACACAGCTTACCCTCCCTCGATGAAACGGTTTTGCGTACGAAAAACAAGGTACATACAATAGTAATGGACCAGATAAAATTGGAAGGCTCCGCCTTTAAGGACATCAACTAACAACTTTCTTTGTTAAAGTGAGGCGCGTCACCGATGTAGCTATAGGCGCCCAATCAAGTAACAATGACTAACGTTACACAGTCAAACAAATGGGGAAGAAGTCAAACAAATGGGGAACAAGTCAAACAAATGGGGAAGAAGTCAAACAAATGGAGAACAAGTCAAACAAATGGAGAAGGATTCAAACAAAAGGGGAAGTGCGTCAAGATGTAATTTTTAGGGTCGGAAGAAAGGAAGACTTGTAAATAGAAATACAAATTCCTACAATGTAGTAGAAGAACACATGTCGCATATGATTGAAATATTGATGCCGAATATGTTACCCTCTTTGATGAAATATGATGCTGCCTATTCCACGAAAAAAATTCACATTTTCCGTGTCTATTCAACACTGAATGAAACGAAATATTCGAAAGTGCCTGTGACAGTAGTCAAATTAAGACGAAACTCATGTTTCATTGCAGAATTATTCATTGTCTAAAGACACCACGTAAAATTTAATCAACCAGTTTAATGAATTTTCTTGCTTTCATATCCTCGATTCTCTACCTTGAATTCCTTGTATACATGGTTTCTCCATTTACTGGACTTATTTATGCAAACGAAGTCAATTAAAGTAATTGATATCGAGCAATTAACTTTTGTATTGCTCTTTCAGCGCTGGACAATGAGACAATGAAATTCAAAAGTTTCGACCTGAGGTCTGAAATAGGCGATTGACGCAATAGTTCGAGCTGGTTTGATAGTAGAAATAAACATAGCACTTTTAGCGCATTTTTTCATTTAGGGAAACAAGGCGCTATTGTGCTCGCCATGTCCGTCCGTCCGTCTGTCCGCCTGTCAATCTGTCCGTCTGTCTGCCCGTCTGTCTGTCTGTCCGTCTGTCTGTCCGTCTGTCTGTCCGTCTGTCTGTCCATCTGTCCGTCTGTCTGTCCGTCTGTCTGTCCGTCTGTCTGTCCGTCTGTCTGTCCGTCTGTCCGTCTGTCTGTCCGTCCGTGACTTCACGTTTTCGTCGACGAGAAAATGCGCTCTCTGTCACTCACTGCAGTGAGTACTGTGTTACTTTTTTTATTCTAAATTCATCCATATAATCCATAAAATATTCATAACGGGAAGTTTTTACATCCCCGGAATTTCAATTCCTTCGTTTTAATAGTTTTTTCATACTTCAGACTGGCAATCAGTCTGTAGTAAATTTGTCAAAAATTCTGGATGAGTATTCATTTGGCGATGTGTTACATTAGTCTACATTATGATACAAATTATTATTTGAACAAAATTTTGTCTTTTACGGAGTGCAGCAAATGCAAAGAAATAAAATATGAACAAGACGCTTCTATTGCCAAGAATCGGTGGGAATTGCCCTATTATCGGTGCAAGGAAGAGCGCTGAACTATTTGTGCATCGTGGCCATATCCTGGTTCGAATTTTTTTACTCAGATTTCATAGCATCTAAAATTAATTTCTATCCAAATATTTATTATTAGTATGAAATAAAAACTAAGAATTAACACTCCGACAAGGAATTTAAGTTTCAGTACATTTTTCAAATTATTATCATCATTATTATCATCATTATTATCATTCATTATCAATATTATCATCAGGTAAATTAATCACATTTCTCAGTTGCTTATGGTCATTGTTCCGTTATAACGGAAAGTGACGATCTGAGCTCAAATAAGTGATTTCGCAATAAAGAAGATGCACCTGACATGAGCGATCGAGTGGAGGAGCGTATGACACACCACCTACTCACACGGCCCCCAGCGTGCTACTGACGCTAAAAGTGTCATGCAAACGCCGCAGAGTTTTGGCCGAATTTTGTTCAATTTAGTCGAGGTTTCCACTGAGCTGGAAGCGCGTAACTATGGTAGTTTGTAAAAAAATTGCTGTTTACTTTTTTTAAAATCAAGGCTTCTGAATACAAATTATTTTCAGACAATTTTTTACCTAATTAGCATGAACCAAACGAAATGTGTCAAAATTTTTGGATGAGTTAAAGGCAGTAGAAAAATATAACTCAGTACTCACTGCAGTGAGTGACAGAGAGCGCATTTTCTCGTCGACGAAAACGTGGTCACGGACGGACGGACGGACAGACAGACGGACAGACATGACGAGCACAATAGCGCCTTTTTTCCATAAATGAGATAATGCGCTACAACTTCTTGTTGATTACAAAGCTTTCCCTACATATGCTCCGAAATTTAACAAGTTCAAAATGCGAAGTCATCGAGTCATTTCCACGTATATCTGCTGATGTTGAATATTGCAGATCCAATGCTTAATATTGTCCAACAGACAATAAATAGGAGCTCAACTGGGATCTCTACACTTTCGGAGCTAAATACCTTAAAAAATAACAATAATTGGACATATATTTCAACTTAAATTCCTTGCATAAGTGTTACAGCTTAGTTTTATTTCATGCTAGTAATGAATATTTGGATAGAAATTAATTTTAGATGCAGTAAAATCTGGGTTAAAAATTTTAAACCAGGACGTGGCCACGATGCAAAAGTAGTTGAGCGCACGTCTTTGCACCGACAATATCTCGCTGTTACTTGGCAATTGAAGCGTCTTGTTCATATCTTATTTCTGAAGCTGCACATTGCTATTCAGGTTGGAATTGCATGTACGTAAAAAGACTAAGTAGTACACTTAGATAGAATAATATCCGGGCCTAATTTAGGTTAAAATTACACTGTAAATATTTGATACAGTATTACGCATGGACCTCGCTCGGTTTCCATATATTAATTGTGGTCGTTAAATAAAAATTGATATAAGAATAGCATAATTGGACAAATTTGGTCTTAACCATTGTGGAAGTTTAATCAAAATTTCCTGCAAAGTGTATAATTATAATGATGAGAGACAGAGAAAAAATCCGTCTGATCATTTTGTTCAGAAATCATATTTGAAAAAATCAAACATTTTAGCGCTATACTTCAAGATTTCTTTGCAATTGATGTAAGTACAAAATTTATCAGCTAAGAATGCATGATTTTAAGTTTCGAATTTATGAAGCCCATTATCATTATGGGCGGTTTCTTGTCGAATGAGTATTTTTCACTTAGTTTCCGGATATTAAAAATTGCAGAGAAAGTTATCAGGCTTTTGAGAAAGGTACTACCCTAGTGAAAATGAAACGAAAATCAATGTTCATTAATAAATAACTGTGATCGAATGAAGTAAGTTCGGTCCACATCAATAAATTCTTTGGACATATTGCGTTAATATATAAATGTCTATCCCGAAAGTTTTCTTTTCTTTCAAAGAAAGTTTTCTATAGGCTCCAAATGTTTGATGCTGTACTCCTACACTTTCAGCTATCATGTTCATTATTTTAGGTCTGACACCAAACATTCTTTCTCAGTAAATAAAATTTAAAAATTTAAAATGAAATGTCAAATTTATATAGTGGATATAATAAATCAGGTATGTAGACTAGACACTGTAATGGACCAATACGCATTGTATTTTAATTTCATTTTTAATATAATTTTAATTAATTATATATTCCAAGAATTTTATGTTCTGTTTCGATTATGGCAAAGGTTTTTCGAGCCCACTTTCTGTGAACGTCCAACCTGTGCTACTATACCTAAATGTGTCTTCAAATCGATCAAGCACCGGCTATTTTATCACTTGAGCCCAGCCGACACAGATTTTATTCAAATTTAAATAGCGAGAGTGAACTCATACCCAGCCATACGTAATGAATAATTATTCATTTAAATAACGAGAGGGAACTCATGAATAATTCATTACTCATACGTAATGAATTATTCTTCATGATATTTTGTCCTCATTTAAAGTTTATTTATTGAATAATTCGCGTGCATTCAGTTCCTGATTGTTAACCTTTTTCTAATTTAAACATTTCGACGAATTATTGAACGAATTTTGAGTTATTGCTATCAAGGCAACGTGTTGTGCCGATTTCCCGTAATAGCGTGATAATTATGAAAGTTGTTCACTCAAAAGGCTTTTTTTCTGAAGCTTATCTTTCAGTTGATATTTTTTTGAATTTCTCTGAAAATTGTTCATAATTTTGTTGAAATTTTAATTCGTCTATATCATGCAATAAATATACTGGAGAACAATTTTTAAGGCGTGTGAGAATTTTAATTTTTCTACGAATTTCAACCAATTTTTATTAGGAACGACTCATGAAATTCAGAGTAAACATCAACCTCTATAATTTATCTTAATCTCCTCTGCGCGCGACGTACATTTGCGCATCACGCTCGTAATAACGCCTAATGCAATATTATCTAGCAGTAAATAAGTTAAAATGTATGAATTCTAAGACCCGGCTGTAAATTTCGGGCTGAAAGTAAGCTTTGATGTTCGTTTTTCTTATTTCCGAAAAAGATTCGATCAAAAACAAAATATTGACGGCATGCTTAATAGATTTTAAGTAAAACTAGTATAATTAGCCCATACAACATCGACTTCGCGAGCAGTTTCTCATTTGATATAATTTAAAAATTTATCTATGCCAAAAAAAGTTGCACTAGAAATATATAATTTGATGCAGTGCACTTGTGATGAGTAAATACGCAATTATTAGGCGGCAAAATAGGGATGTTTGCAATTATATCTTACTAAAATAACTCTTATAACCATCGCAAAATATCAGACAAGCAAAAAAATTAGCATTATGATAAAGAGGACTTGTTACTGTATTATTTACGTAGATAGGAAATTTCCTTTCATGCTTTAAAATTTGATGCCGAATGCAATTAATGAACAATCAATGCCTTTGAATTCTATAACTGAGCAAATGATCAAAACCAACATTGTCTGTATATTGTGCATCACAATATTTCGCTGCGTTATTGACATCACAATATGGCGCCACAATATTGGCACCACAATATGGCGCCACAACTTTGGCACCACAATATGGCGCCACAACTTTGGCACCACAATATGGCACCACAGCTTTGACACCACAATATGGCGCCACAACTTTGACACCACGATATGGCGCCACAACATTGACACCATATGGCGCCACAACATTGGCACCACAATATGGCGCCACAATATGGCACCACAAATATTAGCGGGCCAACTTTCAGACGCGCTTGGAACGCTTTGCGTTCTTGTTTGTATTCCTCCGCCGCATTTCTCTAAAAGCGGCAGAAGATTCAAATGTGCTCACAGTTCTATCTATCTTCGGAAGTAGAGAAAGCTAATCGTAAACCTAATTCAAGCCTTACCATGTTCGCTTCAAATTTCAGTATTGAATCTGCCAAAAATAACTTGTGCTGTCCCGAAATTTATGAGTATTTAGTCATTTTAGTTATTTACTCTGTCGTGTCTCGTGATTCACTCCAATATCTAAATATAAAAAAATATATAAGGCCTTAAAATATTCCTTAAATTTTTATGGTGCCACATATTGTTACAGCAAATCTCAAAGAAAAATATTCAACTATTTTACAATAAAAGTAGTTACTTGACTTAGGAAATACAAATTTTAATTGCTGAATTTGATCGAATTTTTACTTAACGTACTGACCATTACATAGATGCGGAAATACTTTAATTGATTTCGATGGGCAAGGGTAACTGTATCAAATAAATGCAAACAGATCATGATGAAATTACTGTCACATCATTCATATCTAATAATTATTTTTGCATTTCACCATTCATTTTCATTATGTGTGTCAATTTGTCAGCAACCCCACCTTACAAGTGGCCATACAAGTCACCATACAAGTCGCCATACAAGTCGCCATACAAGACGCCATACAAGTCCCCTTACAAGTCCCCTTACAAGTCGTCATACAAGTCGCCATACAAGTTGCCACAATAGTCGCCACATATAAGTCATCATATAAGTCGCCATTCAAGTCGCCATACAAGACACCATACAAGTCCCCTTACAAGTCACCTTACAAGTCGCCATACAAGTCGCCAAACAAGTCGCCATACAAGTCGCCATACAAGTCACCTTACAAGTCACCTTACAAGTCACCTTACAAGTCGCCATACAAGTCGCCAAACAAGTCGCCATACAAGTCGCCATACAAGTCCCCTTACAAGTCACCTTACAAGTCGCCATACAAGTCGCCAAACAAGTCGCCATACAAGTCGCCATACAAGTCACCTTACAAGTCACCTTACAAGTCGCCATACAAGTCGCCAAACAAGTCGCCATACAAGTCGCCATACAAGTTGCCATACAAGTCCCCTTACAAGTCGCCATACAAGTCGCCATACAAGTCGCCATACAAGTCGCCATACAAGTCACCTTACAAGTCGCCATACAAGTCGCCATACAAGTCGCCATACAAGTCGCCATACAAGTCGTCATACAAGTCGCCATACAAGTCGCCATACAAGTCCCCTTACAAGTCCCCTTACACGTCGTCATACAAGTCGCCATACAAGTCGCCATACAAGTCGCCATACAAGTCACCAGACAAGTCGCCAGACAAGTCGCCAGACAAGTCGCCATACAAGTCACCTTACAAGTCGCCATACAAGTCACCTTACAAGTCGCCATACAAGTCGCCATACAAGTCACCTTACAAGTCGCCATATAAAGTCACTCCATGAACACGATTGATCGGATAATTGATAACTTATTTACGGACTTCTTTGCATAATTTAAAGATCGAACACTCGCACGCAAAAATTGTCATAAACTTCAAATCATCATTTTTTGCAGCTCCAGATTTGTGGTGAATTTTTGCTCAGAACTTGTCAACAAATTTACAGTCTCATTTGCACCGTTTTTAGCGCATTTTTTCATTTGTGGAAAAATGCACTATTGTGCTCGCCATGTCCGTCCGTCCATCTGTATGTCTGTCTGTCTGTCTGTCTGTCCACCTGTCCGTCCGTGACTTCATGATTTCGTCGACGAGAAAATGCGCTCTCTGTCACTCACAGCAGTGAGTACTGAGTTATATTTTTTCTATTTGGTACTAATATTATTCTTTCCATTCCTTCTTCCTGTTTGCTCTTTAAATAAAGCACCGATTAATGACAAATTTTTACATTATTTCCAGTATTTCTGAAGGACCCGGAAATATCGTAGGAAAACAGTGTACATCTAACAAAAAATTCTACGGATTTTAAGCCCAACATTTAACTATACACATGTGAGCTGTTATAGATAAGATATTATTCGGCTCGGAATTCCTCGAGTTCGTAAAAGAACCAAAGCTGTTCAAACACATTTAAAAGTCTTAAAATTTATTATATTAAGATAAAAATATTTAATAGGCTTGTGATTTTTTAATAGCTGATAATCATAATGACTCACAAGTCTGCTCCATGTCGTCAGATCGAGCCTGGGTTGCGGAATAGCGGCCATTGGAGGAATGCGCTCCCACAGTGAATGGGTGTATACTGTGTGACAAATGGGGTGTATGTGAACGGGTATATACTATGAGATAAATGAGGTGTATGTGAACGGGTATATACTATGAGATAAATGGGGTGTATGTGAACGGGTGTATACTGTGTGACAAATGGGGTGTATGTGAACAGGTGTATACTGTGTGATAAATGTAATGTATATGAACGGGTGTATACTGTGTGATAAATGGAATGTATATGAACGGGTGTATACTATGTCATAAATGGGGTGTATATGAACGGGTGTATATACTGTGTGATAAATGTAATGTATATGAACGGGTGTATACTGTGTGATAAATGGAATGTATATGAACGGGTGTATACTATGTCATAAATGGGGTGTATATGAACGGGTGTATATACTGTGTGATAAATGTAATGTATATGAACGGGTGTATACTGTGTGATAAATGGAATGTATATGAACGGGTGTATACTATGTCATAAATGGGGTGTATATGAACGGGTGTATATACTGTGTGATAAATGGAATGTATATGAACGGGTGTATACTTTGTCATAAATGGGGTGTATATGAACGGGTGTATACTGTGGGATAAATGGGGTGTATATGAACGGGTGTATACTGTGTCATAAATGGAGTGTTTATGAACGGGTGTATACTGTGTGATAAATGGGGTGTATATGAACGGGTATATACTGTGTGATAAATGGAGTGTTTATGAACGGGTTTATACTATGTGTTCAATCGTAAATTTATATTTTAGTCTTCAACTAAAACCGTTGTCCTTTTATTATTTGACCTTCAATTTATTCATGCGAAGTTTAATCTGTATGAATTTAGATGCCGAAAATCCTAATCAGGTTTTATGGTGTCTTTTAAGTACGAATTAATATGTGTCACTAATAAGATTTTCTCATGCAGGGAGACATTAGAAGTCTTGATCTGACTCCAACTCTCACACACATTGTTAATAAATTGTTATTGTCTAATAAATTTTCTAAATAGTCATTGTCTAAACATTATCGAAATGAAAGGTTGCAGTGCTATAGTCTTTACTGGCTCCCGTTTGTGTCAAAGTATGAGAAGTGTGATAAACCTAGCGGTTTTTGATGATAGGTTTGAAGTCTTGCGTTACGTACATTGCAACCTGGCCACGTATAAATTACATTATCTGTCCTAGCCTATGCAAGTATACGACGAAAAGCTGTAGCTATTACAAGCATTACATAAATTTTTCAATAACTGTAAAAAATATATATAATAAATAATTATTACAATAAAATATGAATAAAAATAAAAATAAAATCTAAAAAATAATATAATACGTATAAGATAGAAGAATAAAAAATAAACTATATTCAATTTACATTTATTTTTCTTTTCCCTCTCAAAAATATTCGTAGTGGAATCACTTACATATCTTCCTTTCTCCCGTAAATCAAATTCGTTTCGTGATATTCAACTACCGCATTAAGGCTACACAAGACATTATTTCATGAATTTTGTTAATTAATGTAAGAAAAACTGTTCTAATCAACAATTTGGGATCACTTATTATTATTATTCGATCGAATAATTTAAAAATTAAGTATTTCAGGAAATTTTTTTTGTTTGTTTTTTTTAGGAAATATTTTCTCAAGTTAATAACCCTGTAACAATTAAAGCAATGAGTAGGTGCTCATTTTAATTTTTATCTATCAATACCTTTTACATAGAGGTAATTTTGATCATGTTGAATGACTTCGTCGACATTATTGCTTACAAGAATTATGAATGAATTCGAAGACAACGCTGAAATCAAATTAATAATCTTCCATATTTGGGCCAATGTCTGTGTCTCCGTTATATTAAATTTAAATATTAGAACTTATGTTATATGACAACAAAATTGAAAAATAACATCAATGGAAAAGTAATTTAAGTGACAATATTCCAAAAGCTTCCTCTTAAAGAGAAGCTTTAAAAACGTCTCAAAGCTCAATAATGAAATTCCCCTGTAAAAATTTATTAAAAGGTACCGCATTCAGAAGCCTCTAATCGATGTACGATACAAGAATGCCTGAGATGAATCGCTTTTCGCTGTTCAGGCTTGGACATTCACTCCATGTAAGTCATTCATTCTGCCTTCGGAACATGCAGAGACAAATTCACAGTCTGTTCATTGCGCTGTTCCTGTATGAACTATTCCGTCTTTTTATTGTACTGTTCCTGCAAAATATGTATTGATCATATATAATTTGTAGTGACTATATATGATATGTAGTGACTGTTCCGTCTGTTCATTGCGCTGTTCCTGTATGAACTATTTCGTCTTTTTATTGTACTGTTCCTACACAATATGTTTTGATCATATATAATAAGTAGTGACTATATACATATGATATGTAGTGACTGTTCCGTATGTTCATTGTGCTGTTCCTGTATGAACTATTTCGTATTTTTATTGTACTGTTTCTGCATGAACTATGCCGTCTTTTTATTGTACTGTTCTTGCACAATTTGTATTGATCATATATATTATATATGTATTGACTATACATGATATGTAGTGACTGTTACGTCTGTTCATTGTGCTGTTCCTGTATGAACAGCTGCATCGACCTAACCGCGAAAGGCTTACTACAAAATCCAATAGTTCACTGGGCATATTGACTGGTAGCTTTATACATTATGTGGTATCTACAGTCCATTATGCGCCCTCTCTTCTTCTTAGAAACTTTAATGACTTGGAAGTCGGGTATTATGTTTGACGGTCATTTCGGTAATGGTATGTTCAGAATACTTTTTATTCTCTTTATTAAAGGAGTTTAATTTGACAGGCTCGAATAAGTATATGCATCAGTGACGTTCAAATGAATCGACATTAAAATTATTTGAATATCGCCAAATTTTACGCCCTCGTTCAGCCTCGTGCGAAGATACTCGTCTTGGCATAAAAGAAAAAGAAATTTTATTCCATTGACATCTGGAAGATTGTGTTTGTGATCATCCGAGTTTGAAAAAAATTTGTCAAAGACAGAAATTTTCCACTTATGATCAAAGGAATTTTTTCAAAGCAGGATTAATCCACGCGTGTTGTTTTCGTATGGAAATTCGTATTCGAGAATAAAGATAAAGAATACGAAATAATAAAATTTCGTATTCGAGAATTTCGTATGGAAATTCTCGCCAGGCGCAAGAGCGCCCGGTCTCACCACCCTGATGATTTTTGTCTAGCATTGCAATTGCACCATTAGCTTTCATTCGTTACCATTAACGGGATATTACCCATTATTTTATGTTTCGAATAATATTATGCTAAATGCGAACTGCATTTTTCGATGTATGGTATACTCTCTGTGTAAGTGTGTATCTTTTTGTATATATGGGGTGTAGCATAATTGAAAATATACATTAATTTATAAACAATCGTTCAAAGGCCCTTAACTTGACTCAAATAATTTTCAATCGATTGTAACAAAAAAAATTCTATTTTTATACAGAATGAAAAAGCGCCTAAACTGTAACAATATCATTTTCTATTCGACAAGTTGCATTAGAATTATAATTTTTTAGCACTTTCTTATGTCCAACTAATTTTTCTTGGACTTTCATCTCTTTGCTCGGACGTGAAGTAAAGGTTCTAGATTTTGCAACAATATCGCACAGTAAAAAATTGTGTCAACCACAATATACAATTTACGGCATAAGCGCAGCGATCTGTCTCGGCTTCTACGCGAAATTTTAAAATTATTTCTTGTGAGGAATTAATGAGAACGTTTCGCATAATTCAAATTTTTAACATGCGATTAATTGAACAGAAATGAGAGTCACGTGAAAAATTTTACCGCCGTGTTAAGAAAAAATTCTCCGCTCTACGCAGTTCTTCAGTCGGACGCAGGCCATGGCTGAGTGAGGTGGTACCGTGATTGTCTCCGCATCGAGTGGATTTTACCTGTTGAATTAGCACTCAGAAAAGAGTTTCTAAAATTATAATAATTAATTTATAACCACATTGTACTTTGAAGCGTTTAATAAATTTCAAATTTATTCCCACTGACTTTACTATTATATAACGCATTCGATAATCTTACATGCAGCATTTCTTCGGTACAATAAATTGTCAATACGATTTTCCTAGACTACAAAAAACAATTATTTGTTTCATTCAGAATATGGAATGGAAATTTATTTATAAATTATAAACGATAGAATTTGTTCGACAGTCGATATCGTCAGTTTTTATACG